GGCACCGGGGCAAAGCGAGGAGCTCCGGTACCGGGGTTACCGGGAATTCAGGCACCGGGGCAAAGCGAGGAGCTCCGGTACCGGGGTTACCGGGAGATTCAGGCACCGGGGCAAACGAGGAGCTCCGGTACCGGGGTTACCGGGGAATTCACACACCGGGGCAAAGCGAGGAGCTCCGGTCCCGGGGTTACCGGGAGATTCACACACCGGGGCAAACGAGGAGCTCCGGTACCGGAGTTACCGGGAATTCAGGCACCGGGGCAAAGCGAGGAGCTCCGGTCCCGGGGTTACCGGGAATTCAGGCACCGGGGCAAACGAGGAGCTCCGGTACCGGAGTTACCGGGAGATTCACACACCGGGGCAAACGAGGAGCTCCGGTCCCGGGAATCTCCGGGGTTACCGGGGAATTCTGGCACCGGGACAAACAGAGGAGCTCCGGTCCCGGGGTTACCGGGGAATTCAGGCACCGGGGCAAAGCGAGGAGCTCCGGTACCGGAGTTACCGGGAATTCACACACCGGGGCAAAGCGAGGAGCTCCGGTACCGGGAAACTCCGGGGTTACCGGGGAATTCAGGCACCGGGACAAACAGAGGAGCTCCGGTACCGGGGTTACCGGGAATTCAGACACCGGGGCAAACGAGGAGCTCCGGTCCCGGGGTTACCGGGGGATTCAGACACGGGAGCAAACACAGGAGCTCCGGTACCGGGAATCTCCGGGGTTACCGGGATTTCAGACACCGGGACAAACGAGGAGCTCCGGTCCCGGTACCGGGAAGCACCGGGGCGCGGTCCGGCCCCGCCAGACCCGGTCCGGAGGCCGGTACCGGGCGGGGAGTGTCCGGTCGGTGCCGGGAAAAGGGCGGCGGGCGGGGCCGGCTCCCCGCCGCCGTGACGCCGGTTCCAGCCCCGCCCCGGTTCTCGTGGGGTAAATAAATCACCGGGAGCGGCCGCCGGTGATGTCAGCACCGGGAACAAAGAGCGGGCCGGGAAAAACGGGGGGTCCCGCCGCTCGGGGGGCTCCGGTGCCCGCGGGGAGGGGCCCGGGGCTGCCTCCCGGGTCCCCTCCCTCCCTCCGGTACCGGAGCGGGCACCGGGGACAACGCCGGGACCCCGCCCGGGAGCCCGAGCCCCCCAAAATGGGGGTCCCGAAATGGGGGTCCTGAAATGGGGGACACGAAATGGGAGTCACGAAATGGGGGTCACGAAATGGGGGTCCTGAAATGGGGGTCACGAAATGGGGGTCACGAAATGGGGGACACGAAATGGGGGTCACCAAAATGGGGGACACGAAATGGGGGTCACGAAATGGGGGACCCGAAATGGGGGTCACGAAAATGGGGGTCCCCAAAACGGGGGTTCCAAAACGGGGTCGCCAAACGTGGGGGTCCCCAAAATGGGGGTCCCCAAAACGGGGTCCCCAAGGTGGGGTCACCAAAATGGGGGTCCCCAAAATGGGGGTCCCCAAAACGGGGTCCCCAAGGTGGGGTCACCAAAATGGGGGTCCCCAAAGGCGGGGGTCCCCAAAATGGGGTCACCAAAATGGGGGTCCCCAAAACGGGGGTCCCCAAGGTGGGGGTCTCCAAGGGGGGGGGGTCCCCAAAACGGGGATCCCCAAAACGGAGGTCCCCAAACGCGGGGGTCCTCAAAACGAGGAGTCCCCAAAATGGGGGTCCCGAAGCCGGGGGTCCCAACCCCGGGGGTTCGGGGGGACCCCCGGGCGGGGCGCGGGGCGGATGCTCGGTACCGTAATCGCCGTCCGGGTCCCTCCTGCCCGCGGGCCGGTCCATGGCGGCTCCGGGCGGCTCCTCCGGTAGCACCGGAGCCCCCCCCGGTATCCCCGGTGTCCCCGGTATCCCCGGTATCCCCCGGTATCCCCGGTACCCCCGGGCTGTGCCTGCGGGCGGGGCGGCTCCGGGCCCGGCCCTCAGCACCGATCCGCCCCCGGGGCCGGGCCCGGGCCCGTCCCGCCCCTCCCGGGGCTCCGGTGGGACCGGAGGATGCGGGGCGGGGCGGGGGGTGCGGGAATTGGAAGGTGCCCGAAGGGAATTGGGGGGTCTGGGGGCTTTTGGGGGGGTCACGCAGAGTGGGGGATGCCGGCATGGAGACCCCCACCCCGGAGGGGAGGATGTGGGGGTGCAGCGACCCCCCTCCCGTGGGGGTCACCCGTGGGTGCAGCGACCCCCCCGTCCCGTGGGGGTCACCCGTGGGGGGGGGTCTGGGGGTGCAGGGACCACCCAGGGTGGGGGGTCTGATGGAGACCCCCTCATGGGTGGGGGGCACAGGGGGTCTGGGGGGGCTGCAGCGACCCCCAGGGTGGGGAATCCTCCCATCAGAAGCTGCGGGGACACCCCCCCCCCCCAAAAAAAGGAAATTTTAGGGGCGCAGAGACCCCCTCCCCACCGTGGGGCACGCGGGTGTCCCAAACCCACCTTTGGGTGTCACCCCACGCCCCCCACCCCAAAACGGAGGGGTGGGGCTGGGGGTGGCCGTGGAGTGGGCGAGGTTGGGGGGTCTCCCCCCAGCAGGGGAGGGGGTGAGACCCCCGGTGTGGGGAGAGGGGCGGGGCCGTCCCCTTTAAGGCGCGGCCGCGCACCTGGGCAGGTGACGGTGCCGGAGGTGACGGCGCGGGAGCCATGGCCGCCTCCGCCCTCTTCATCCTGGACCTCAAGGGGAAGGTGAGACCCCCCGACAGACCCCCAAAACCCGCCGGGGGTCGCCCCGCTGTCCCCTCTGTCCCTAAAGGTCAGCCGAGGTCAGTGGTGGATTTTGGGGAGGGGGTTTCTCCACTGTGATCCCCTCCCCACACCCACCACGACCACCCCAAACCCTAACGTGGGTGGGGGTCTCCTCAATGTCCGGGCTGGGGGTCTCCCCACTGGGGTACCCTCTGTCCTTATCAGTGGCCGTGACCCCGTGGATTTTGGGGATTTTGGGGAGGGGGTTTCTCCACTGTGACCCCCTCCCCACACCC